GGATTTGGAGGGGGTTGGAGGGAGATTGGGGAGGGGGGCGGTTTTGTGGCAATTTTGGAGGATTTGGGGACACCGGGAGGGGGAGAGGGAGGAACGGGTGGGAGTGGCCGGGGCCCCCCTTGTGTGGGAGTCGTTTGGGGTGGGGGTTTGGAGGAAGATTTGGGGGGGGAGGGGTGGGCAGGATCGGGACCCCTCAAGTTGGGGGGAAGGGGAGGAGATTTAAAGGGGGAAATTTGGGGAGGGGGAGGGTCATTTTGGGCACCCCCCTGTGGGGTTGGGAGGGTGTCTGACCCCTCCCTTTCCCGCCAGCCCCCCCACCCCCCACCATGGGCAACGTCTGGGCCGCCGGGTCCCCCCCGCCCCCCCCCACGGCGCACCCTCCCCCCCTCCTGCCCGTGCCCCCCCCCGGCTTTGGGGGCCCACCCCCCATGAGCGGCCTGGGGGGGTCTGGGGGGGCCCCCCCCAGCCCCACGGAGCCCCCTGGGGGCGACCCCCTGCCCAACCCAGGGGCCTTCGAGGAGTGTCACCGGCGCTGCAAGGGTGAGTGTGTGTGGAGGGAGTGGGACACTCCAAAAATTACCCCCTCGCAGATTCCTGAACCTCCCCTGGGACCCCCAGAGCCCTCCATGGCCCCCATAGGAACCCCCTAACTGGGGTATCCCTTCCCAAATCATTCCCCCCAAATCCCTAAATCTCCCCTGGGACCCCCAGAGCTCTCCAGGGACCCCCGTAAACAGGGTATCCCCTCCCCCAAATGCCCCCAGGGACCCCCAGATCCCTCCACGTCCCCTCCAGTGACCCCCAAAACAGGGGCTTCCCTCCTAAAGCCCCCCAGGGACCTCCACATCCCTTCAGGAACCTGCAGTTCCTCCCAAAACCAAAGGAGATCCTCCCCCAGTCACTTCAGAGCCCCCTCAGATCTTTTCCCAAGAGCCCCCCACCCCATCCCTCCTGCCCCCACCCTGGGGGTCTCCCCTAACACCCCCTGTGCCCCCCCAGAGCTGTTCCCGGTGCAGATGGAGGGGGTGAAGCTGACAGTGAACAAGGGGCTCAGCAACCACTTCCAGGTGGGTTTTTGGAGGTGCAGGTGGGTCAGAACAGGAGAAGGGAGTCCTCCCTTTCCCAGCCCCCGCAAACCCTCTCCCCACTTCCCCCCCAGGTGAACCACACGGTCGCTCTCAGCACTTTGGGGGAGTCCAACTACCATTTTGGGGCCACCTATGTGGGCACGAAGCAGCTGAGCCCCACTGAGGTGAGCTGAGCTGGGGGGTTCTGGGGGACTTCCCTGGCCTTCCCAGACCTTCCCTTCCCAATCTCTCCTCTCTCTTCCCAATCCTTCCCTTCTCTTTCCTTTCCCAATCCTCCTCTCCATTTCCCTCCCCTTCTCAATCTTTCTCTCGCCTTCCCTTTCTAAATCTCCCTTTCCCCGAACCTTTTCTTTTCCCTCCCCTTTCCACTTCCCCCCTTTTTGGGAGTTCTGGGAGCTCCTAAATTCCTGGATGTCGAACCCCCCAGGCCTTCCCGGTGCTGGTGGGGGACATGGACAACAGTGGGAGCCTCAACGCCCAGGTGATCCACCAGGTGACGGGGAGGCTCCGCTCCAAGGTGGCCTTCCAGGTACAGACTGGGGACCCCACGAGGGTTGGGGGGACCCCCCTGGGACTGGGAGGACACCCTAAAAATGGGAATCTCTTCCCCCATAAAGTAAGGGCGAGATGCTATGAGGGGCCGAGGGCGGGGAGGGAGTTGGGGTGGGGGAAAGACCTGTACACAGGGGGGGATACCCCCAAAAATGGGGGGCCCCCAGAGAAGAGGAGGGGGCCATCCTGAGGTTTTGAGGTGTGTTTGTGTCTCCCTCCCCTACCTTTGCAGACGCAGCAGGCGAAGTTCGTGAACTGGCAGGTGGACGGCGAGTATCGGGGGGGCGACTTCACGGCCGCCCTGACCCTGGGGAACCCTGACATCCTGCTGGGATCAGGTGAGGGAGGGCCCGAAAGTCCTCCTGGGATCAGGTTGGGGGGGGGACCCAAAATCCTGCTGGGATGAGGTGGTGGTGGGGCCCCAAAATCCTGCTTGGATCTGGGAGGGGTGACCCCCGAAACCCTCCTTGGGATCAGGTAAAGAGGAGGGGGGCAAAATCCTGTTGGGATCAGGGAAGCAGGGATCTCCAAAATCCTGGGATCAGGTGAAGGGGGGGACCCCAAAATCTGGGGGGTTTGGTGGAGCCCCCAGAATCACACCCTCCCAATTCCTGGGGCGGGGGGAGAAGGGAAGCCCCGTTTTGGGGTTTTCCCCAAAATCTGTGTGCTTGGGAGCCCTCCAACCTCTCAGGGAGGGGGAGAGGGGGGTGCCCCCTCCCTCAAAGACCCTCAGCCCTCATTTCTGGGCTGTTCTCCCCTCTTCCTGCAGGGATTCTGGTGGCCCATTACCTGCAGAGTGTGACCCCCACCCTGGCGCTGGGGGGGGAGCTGGTCTATCACCGGCGCCCAGGAGAGGAGGGGGCCGTGGTGTCCCTGGCTGGGCGTTACACAGGTGGGACCCCAAAACCCCAGGGGGGCTCTGGATGGGACCCCAGGAACCCTCTGCAGAGGTGGGACCCCAAAACCCTGGGGGGTGTGGGAGGGGACCCCCAAAATCCCCTGCACAGGTGGGACCTCAAAACCCAGGGGCAGCATGGGTGGGACCCCAAAAATCCCCTACACAGGTACCCCAAATACCTATACAGGTGAGACCCCCAAAACCCTACAAAGGTGGGACCCCCAAAACCCTGGGGGGGACCCTAAAAACCTCCTGCACAGGTGGGACCCTAAAAATCTCCTGCACAGGGACCCCAAGCCCCTACACAGGTGGGACCCCAAAACCCGGTGGGGGGGTGCTGCGGGTGACCCCAAATCCTGGGGTGACCCCAAAAATCCCCCACCAGCGCCCACGTGGATCGGGACCCTCACGCTGGGGCAGGCGGGGGCTCACGCTACCTACTACCACCGAGCCAGTGAGCAGGTACGAGGGACCCCAAAAACGGGGGGTGGGGCCCTAAAAATAGGGGGTGGAACCCTAAAAATGGGGGGAGACCCCAAAGATGGTGGAAACCCCAAAAATGGGGGCTGGGATTCCTAAAACATGGGGTAAGGCTCCAAAATGGAAGTGGGACATCCCAAAGGACAGGAGACCCTGGATTTGGAGGGGTCTGACCCCAAGTGTGTGTGTGGGGGGGTGTTACCTTGGATATTTGGGGGGGTCTGACCCCTCAGGTGTCCCCCCAGCTGCAGGTGGGAGTGGAGTTCGAGGCCAGCACGAGGCTCCAGGATTCCAGCGTCGCCTTTGGGTACCAGCTGGAGCTGCCCCGGGGGAACCTGCTGTTCCGGGGTACGAGGGGGGGGCCAAAAATGGAGG